TTCTAAAGTAGCGTCTCAGCTTGTTGCATGCTCTTGAAATGCGTCTGAGTCGTTTCAGATGAAACATTTGCACACGCCCAAACGATGAGGATCTCGGGGAGGATGTGAGAGAGGAGAGCATGCCGCTTGTAGCTCCCTGCAGACGAGCGAATAACATGAAAACTTCTCACAGCCTTTTCCTGCTGCTTGTGCAGGGATAATAACAAGCCACTGAAGTGCTTTTGTGTGTTTGAAGACATCAACTAAAAGAGGTGACCACAAACCTGATTCATCCTACTGAAGCTTGTGAGCAGCTTGGACTGCACAATGCAGCTTCGAGGGTGTCCGCATTTGTCAGCTTGTATTGAAATTTTGAGGCTTTGTCAAAGACAATAATGAAGGCTGGAAACATTTGGAAAACTAAATAAAAAATGGATGCAGGCAGGTGCATAGAGAAGTAGCAAGGAGCTACGGTAATGATATAAACATAAAATCTTGAGAGAGGTAGGGTATGTGGCACTAATTAAGTGACTTAAGTTTAAAGTAGATAAAGTAATTGACTCTTCAATAAATCCCTGTCCAGCAGTGACTTGGCTGACAAAGAGAAAGGAGCCAATAAAGGATAAATCAGTTTAATCAGTGTACAGCTAAAAGAAATGGCACATAATACAGTTATATTTGTAAAATCTATTGTTAAACACCCTGGGGAAAATAAGGGCATAGCTTATAAACCTTTCAAACAACAACTATAGCTATTTATATGAAATCTGCACTATTTCAACAACCATCCAAAAACTCCAATTGTAAAGTAAAATTAAACATATTACCCCATAAATCAAATAATTTATTTTATGCTGAACACATACAAACAAAGAAAATGCAAAAAGCTGTAAAACCTAAGGCTGGGATATTAATTGCATTTGCAATACAATCACAATTTAACAAAACACAATTTTGAAATCACAGAGGCACTGATTTAAATCACACCATATTTAACAAGAGTAAGACACTGAATTTCTCCCTACAGCCCCTTAGGTGGAGGTAAAACACTTGAAGTGGGTTTGTCGCCACACAGAATGGTAGAGAGCGTAGAAGCTAGCATGTAGATCCATTCATGCAAATAGAAATCAATGCTTTTTAAAGAAGGGTTAGAGTTAAGTCCAGTAACAATGGACTCGGGTAAGCAAGCTTTCAAAAATTTAAAGCTTGGGTTGAAACTTCAATAAGCTTTGGGTTAGTGCAAAGAAAAAAAATCAAAATAAATCGCTATTTTGGTTAAAAACAATCGCAATTTTTATTTTTGCAAAATTGTTCAGCCCTAGCATGAACCCAACCTTAAAAACTTCTGTGCCCCTTCAACTGCCAATTAATTTTATTCTGCTTTAGTCATTTCCAGTAGCCCATAAAATATGGACAGTAAAAAACAAGAGAAAAATGTTCAGATGAGACTGAAACTAAACTATTTGTGTCATTGAAGACACCTTGTTTTGAGAAGGAAAAGTCACATCACCTAAAAAAAATAACAGACAGCTGTGATGTTGGAAGGGGGTGAATGTTAGAGATAGACTGGCACATCAGCAGCTGATATTTTTGGCTGATAGTAGCATTTTTTTTTTTTTTCTTGTATCAGCATCGGATAAAACATGCACAGGTTTACCGATTCGTTAGTGAATTCAGAGGCAGTGCCTTGAGATCGTCTAAATGCATGCATTCCCTCCATTTTAATTCCACTGTGATTTGGTCTTCTTTGCTTTGCTAATATTTTTTGTATTCGTACAGACCGAGACTTCTATAACATTTCATGTCATTTTTTTTTTTTTTTTTCATGTAAATGGGTGCAGAGGAAGCAATAATGAGCTAAAGAATAAGCCAAAAAAAAAAAACAACAACAAAAAAATCTTAACATATCGGTAAGACTGATGGTAATTAACTGGTATCGTCATTGGCAAGGCATGCATTGGTTAATTTCTAGTGAGCATTATGTGTCTGGGGTTTTCTCATCATGATCATAAAATACTTCATATCATTAAATTGTATAATATCCATCAGAAATAAATGGAAAACACAGCATATGAATCTGAAGATCAAAGAAGGATTAGAAGGCACTGGTTCAAAAACAGCTGAGACAACATCCCACTGATTTCCGAGAAGAAGGAAAAGAAGTCAAAAAAGTCTATAAAAAGGAACTCAAGATCAAAGTACATTAAAGAAGGCCCCAATGATGTATAAACAGCAAAGAATTGGACAAAATAAAATTAGGAATACTTCACTTTATTTCATACCTGATCTGATCTTCACATAGGTCTAAGTAGCTGTGTTACACACTAATTCCTTTTATTCAACTTTGTTACATTTTTTTTTTTTTTTTGTGCGTGTGGATTATGTGAGTTGTTACAAACATCTGGTGTGAATTTCATGCAAAGAGATTCAATGAAAGCATGATTGCTGAGAAAACTGGCTTGATTATTACACATTTCCTATCCTGTATGTTGTAACCAGAACTTAGGAAGGGGAGTTATTTTTAAATAAATATGTGAATAAGTATAAAGCCTAAAAGCTTGAGATAGAACATGGTGATATAAAAATAGCATGAGAAAACAAAACCTTCATTGGTATACAATGTGCTAAATTACTAGAAAATGTTTGTAGATGGAAAAAATATCTCCGCGTGCGTGATCATTTTTTATCTTTCTTACAGAAAACGTTGCATGTGCTGCCTAATGGTTCCTTTATGAGTTAGGAAACTGCTAAACTTGTCAGGAAGGAGTGGAAAAAAGAATTGAAAAGAGTAAGCAGAGGAAAACTAAAGAGGAACGCAGCATGTGAGAGGACAAATACAGTAGAAAATGTCTTTTATTCCCTCCAACAGATAGAAGCTGCTGAATGATAGAGCAACCATCTGGCATCAACTCGAAGCAATGCACTGTAAAAGCACTAAAATCAATGGCAACAACTCCACCTTGGATGCCCACCATTACCCAGATGGTGTACTTGGAGAACTGCAGGCCACCTAACTCAGAGCAGACACGGCACAGACACACTACCGCCCACCTCGATGAATTTCACTGGTTCGCTGGGGTTGGTAACCAGTGCTGAGGAGCAACATTAGAAACACTGCAATGACACTAAGAGACCCCTCTGTTTGCTTCTACACACCGAACAAAACAGAAAAAAAGAAAAGCAAAAATAACCCATCCGACCACTCCTCTATAAATCTGCTCATTCATAATGAATCTGTATACTAATAAAATATAATTTCCATTGCAATAACATTAACACATGCACTTTACATGATTCATACATACACCTAACTTAATTAGGTGCATTTTGTGTAACAGAATATTACCTTTTGTAATATTTTTGCACAGGAAAAACTAAATTTAGCCAACCGATATGTACACAAAAGCTCCCTTTGTACAGATAATATGAATTCATATGTCCTGCAGATTTTTTTTCCCCTCTTTGGCTATTAAAGTAAATTCAGCAACCTTTTCTCCATATCTCACCTTTTGGAACACAAGCACATTTACACGCTTCTGCAACACAAGCAATGACAGATCCTATAAAAAGCAATGGTGCGATTGTAGCACATTTCTGGGTAAATATGTCTCCGCACTTTGACATTTTTAAAAACAAAGCCTGTCATATTTATTTTGGGTCTGTGTTTGAGCTGCTGCCACTTGAAAGAGGATCATTGGAGGAAAAGAAAATAACCCTTGACCTTAGCCGTTTCCTTTTAAATAATTAATGAGAAAACTTTTGAATTGCTACAGTTTGTAATACACCAACAGAGACAGAGAAGGGGAAAAAAACGTAAAAACCCGAGCTTGATCTGGGTCTCCCTAAAAGCTGAAAGTTATGCTTCTCTTACTACATCACAAACATGTTACACTTCCTGCTTTTTATTACAAGAAAAGCACATTTTAGAAATATATGTTAAAAAAAAAGTCGATAATAAGATTCTTGGATCACTGTGCTCTTAAATAAATTCACCTTTAATGTCTGCACAGATTGCAAAGTGTAGGGTACAGCTACTACTTATTGAGTTTTGATGATCTGATTTATCATACAGAACGACACTTTCCATCCCCAAAAATACAATGTATGCAAAGTCCAATGGTGCACCAATTAATTCACTTTAAGGCATTTGGAGTACATTCACCCCCTGAATGTGCTCTGGCTGTGGTAGAACTTGCAGGCCACTGCCATTTTGTATAATTGTCAAATAAGGGATAAAAACTATCAGCTTTGACAGAATAAAAATAGAAACATATTGATCTCATTTCTGACCTGTCCCTTAGCCACTCACAACGTTTCATCTTATGGCCGATCTGTGAAAAATTTTTCTTACATAGTTCCAACAGTGATTGGATAAAGAAAGCAATTACTTGGTCACTTCATCTTCTTCTCTATGATGAGATTGAACAACATGGGACAACTTTTACTCTGCATTTTCCAATACTTTTGACTTTTTGCACAAGTATCTATCGCAGTAAAACAATAAAGATTGGGGGGAAAAGAAGATAAAAAATCCCTTCTTCTACTATTTAGGTATGAAAAGAGAATTTTTTAAACTTTTGATTCGTGCTAAGTTTTTATTTTTATTTTTTTTTTTAGATTTCAAACAGTGATTATCTTGAGTAGAAATTTATCCTCAAAATAAGAAATGTATTTTCGGGAGGCATCCTGTGGCTGAATATAACCGGTGACTCAACACGCTGCCCGCAGAAAATGGAGCACACAAGGCAGAGTGCATAGAGGTCACATAAAGCCACTACGTTTCCATGCGCTGCGCCTGAGCGCACAAGACATTCCCAATTCACTTCTTTCATGTTACTTAATGATGTTTTTGTTGATGCCATTTCCAAAATTTCCCTTAACCTGGGCGTTAGTTTGATAAAGACAGCTTCTTCCCAACAATAACTGGACCCGCGCGTAAATCTGATCATCTGGATGCAACTTCCAAGCTTAGAATAAACGCGTGTGCATGACTGAATGCAGCTCTGATGTGTCCAACTTACCTATTCGTATAACGTGAGGCATCCCGCAAGTGTACTGAATCCAAAAGAGGCATGCAATCAGCGAAGTCCAATATTCCCAAATCACACTCCGGGGAGATAACCAAGTATTTCGCATGGTTGCAAAGTCGTTAGATCCACTTTTTTTCTCTCTCAAAAAATTCCAAAGACGAGTCAGAACTGCTCATGAAAACTGAAATCTACGGAGCATGTGTGGATTTGGGTAAAATGCGACAACTCTACGCGCATTGTTCTTGGTGCAACATTCTCATCGGGCTTTCTTTTTTTTTTCTGCCTTTTGTCAGCCTTACAACGAAAGATGAGGATAAAGCCCCCTCCGTCCTTCGCTGGCGGATCAGTGAAAACACCTGCTACAGCAGGCTGCAAACAATCACCCCGCAGGAGTCTCTCTGTATACCCTCCAGCACTCAGTGCCGTCTTGTCTACAGGCAAAAAAAGAAAAAGCTGAGCCGAACTCCTGCGCTTCGCTGCGCCACTGTGGACGAAGATCTGCGGAAGTTTGTCTGTCTTAGAATGATTTTGTCCTCATCAGCTCGTACAGAGATTGTTTAGAAATGTAAACATACTTCGGTGATTCAGGAATGCCTCTCCTAGTTTAGGCACTTCGGTCCTGATCGCCAGTGAAAGGACGTCCGCTCCGGTTGCGCACCGTTATTTGCTGGAGAGGTTACAGAGGAAGGTCCATCTAGGCGAAGAGATCGCTGTTACATCGTTTTAATTTTACCAACGTTTCACTATGTGCTGGTTAGGCATGTAATGCGAGCAAATGTGCGTCTGAGGACCCTCCTTCCACGGTGCCACTAGAGGCACGCGTCCTTACGCATTGCTGTCAACTATGTCCAAGTTTTTCGTGGAGGTGAGAGGGATCCGAATCACCACCCAGCTCTATACTTTTTTCATCTAAATATGTGCGTTTTGTTTTTATATGAATACGTTTGTTCATAGTTATATCATGAAATCTGGCTTTCTGATCAGATCAGTGCATGCTGTCCTCATAAGGATTTCTGATGTCAAAACAGAAGCAAATTTATGACTTAAGCAGAATGAGTGGGAGTCTAAATATGGGCAGATCTTTTGCATTCTTAAAATCTCTGGACAACCACCATTATATAAAACATATCAAATCCTACATATTGAAAAAGTTCTTGAATTTAAATCTTGTGTAACTTTCCATAATAAGCACTAATCCTCAATAACTGTGGAGTTTTGAGATATGCAGTGTCTAAATGCTCATATTGCTATTCCAGTTAGAGGTTGAGAGGTGCTAAAATGTTGTTTTTTAAGTATCATTTCAATGTTTTTCACTTTTTGTAGAGAAATTCAGTTTTACTAAAATGCTCCAACTAAATTAGATACTGTACATATTTGCAGGTGCGAAAAAGGTTTTACCTTAGTGTTAGTTAAATGCCAAAAAGCACAATCCTTTGCTATCCCGAGGTTGTCATTGCATGCATGAATGCTTTGAAATATCTTGGTTCTGTCAGTTTTTCATTTGGTGTAAAAAAAAAAAAAATCATCAAAGATCAACTGCAAAAGGTTGGTGTCCAGGGGTGCCTCCAGAAACTTTTGATTGAAGTGGCCAGATAGGGGCCAGTGGTAATCATACCAAAAATGAAAAGCCATAAGAAAGAAAAAAAAAATTAATAGAGTAGGACAGAATAACATTTTCATATTCCTCTTGTTTATAAAAAAAAAATGCACTCTGCATAGCAGCCTTTTTAATATTTATAAAATTCTGTAGAATATAATGAAAACTTTCAGCAATACAAATTCAAATGAAAGGGTTCTGTTTTAAAAAGGAACTTCATTACATCTACAATGTGATGAGTCTTATTGACACCAAATCGCCCCTATAGATCCTGTATGTATACATATATTTTTAATACCCATAAAAAATATCATATTAATTAATGTTGGGGCATTTTTTAATCCTCTGCTAAATGTAATGTCCTTAATTTTTACTGACAGACAATTGAAAAAAGGATGGTATGAGGGCCATAAAAACAAAGCATCTAATGAAAAAATAAATACGCTCAGTCTTTACATTTTTTCTGCCCCACAAATATACATAGAACCTGCATGTGGTAAATTTAATTGGTACCCTCACTTAAAATAGGTTGCATAAAAAACCCAAAATCTAACCTAATTATCTCTCGTATGGTCAAATGGTGATAGAAAGCTGACAATGAATCCTTTAAACTGATTGACATAGATAGATAGATAGATAGATAGATAGATAGATAGATAGATAGATATAGATAGATAGATAGATAGATAGATAGATAGATAGATAGATAGATAGATAGATAGATAGATAGATAGATAGATAGATAGATAGATAGATATAGATAGATAGATAGATAGATAGATAGATAGATAGATAGATAGACTAAAAATACATAAATTAGCAATCATTTGAGAAAAAGCCATTTTACATATTTTTTTCTTAATAAGACTCTCGATGAGATAGTGCTGCGGCTCATTGGTTTAATTTTTTCTGTTGTGAATAGAGGAGAGGAATAAACTGTTCATCAGGGGGCACGCGAGCAAGAACAAGCCAGACTGACTGCCACTGCATATTCATGTCCCACAGAGCAGATTTATCGCCTCTTGGCACAATGTAAGGACTATCAACGTGAGTTATGTGGCCCAGCTCTCGCATTATGGAGATTCATTGACTTGCTGCTCTTTCAAATACAAAATGTACACAGGCCGAGCAAACAAGACATTCTGGGACTGTGGGTGCCCTCTATAGAGAGATCTTGGTCTGTGCTCTCAATCATTTAAACGGAAAACTGGAGAGCCACAGACTTAAGAAATTCCCCTTTGAGAATGTGTGAGGTGTAAAATCAAGGGAGTCGCTTCTTTTCTGAGGTTTATATAGTTTTTAAAGTAAATGTTAAGAATTTTAGAATATTGCTGTTGGTGATGCTTTTTGAGTCACACATTCTTTTCTCTTTGTTTCTGAAAGAAGGAGGCTGCCCTATGTAATAACTCCACCACAAAAAGCAGTCACACAGTTGGACGGTTGTAGTTTAATATGAGTAGAGCCAGTTGTTAGTGGAAAGGTTTACATAATATAGATTCAATAATGTTTAACATTAAATATATTAAATAATACCAGGTAACCTCTTATTTATTCAATAGCTGTTTCAGTAATTTTTTCTTATTTTAAGGCAAGTTAATAAAGAAAAATATTTAAAAAAAGGAAAGAAAAATGTTCTGAAGACCATTCACAGTTTAATTTCACTTCAATTTAATTTCACTTCAATCCCAATACATAGGTTTATATTAAATTACATCCCAAGGGAGACTTAGATTTTTTCTGAAGACATTTGTTGGCGCCCTTGGCAAAATGCATTTATGCAAAGGGAGCCAGGCAGACAGACAGACAGCCATAATCAAAAACTATAAAACAATTAAAACTGTGACAAAGGACGCTGATGAAGGATTAGTTATATCTACCACAAAGCAATTCAAAGAACTGTAAGACCTCAAAATGATCGCCAATACATAATACCTGAGAAGTATTGCAACATTTTCACACAGAGACTCCGAGGCATTATACATATTTACTGCTTAAACAGATGCCTCTCTCATTAGTTTTGACAATCCATGCTAGAAGTTGCCTCATCATATTCTCTGGTAGATCCTGAATTTTTCGAAACACAAATGTTTTTTTTTTACTGCAATCTAAGGAACTTACATCACTATCAGTCTACCCATTGACTTCTTTATTAGCAGGTTCTAGCAAAACCAAATGGGCAACATCTCAGGGCAACACAGAGCAAATTCCATGTATACTTTCACTACAATCCCAAACAAATATCTGCAAATTAAACCTAAAGACTTCTGCTTGTAATTGGTTGTTAAGTTTTATAATGGGAGACACAGATAAAAGCTTCAGAAGATTTAATATGATGAGAAAAGTCTTGAGATCATAGAGTTTACCCCCAGATAAACAGTCTCAATCAAATAATAAAGAGACGTCTAACATTAACACAAGTAATCCTTGATGTTAACGAACAGTGGGTTAAGAATTAATAATCAATTTCCCTGAGAAATTTGAAAAATATTTATGATAAAGAATTAGATTTCAAAAGTAACATTAAAATGAAGTTTGAATAAGACATGTGAAATTTGTTACACAGTACTATACTTACTCTAATGGGATTTTTTTTTTCCACTTATGAAATATAAAACACAGACAGAAAAATCCTTAATCTATATTTATACCAAAATTAATGAGTTATGCATAATAATTCCTTGGCTTTGCCACAACACAGCGAAAACTGCACTGCACAGGCACTTAGTTTGAAGCTACTAAGCAGACAGCACACTTCAGCAAACACATTCTGGCTTTCAGACTTCCCTTTGAGGTCTGAAAGAAAAGGAAGCATTTCATCAAGTTTTGTGGATATTTGATGCGACTGTTCAAAGCCTAGACTGAAGCAGAAGGAAGGTACTGTAGCAAAGAAATAATTGTAAAGGATGCCAAGGTTTGTAATAATAAAAGATAATATTAAAATAACTCCAGTCTTCTCTTTGAGTAAATTAAAAAGTCATTTAAGTTGACACTTTGTATGCCAGACTCACATCCACACGCAACACAACAGTCAGTGCTTTTTCTCTTTTGCAAAATGACTGCTGTTGCATTTGCAAGGGGCCAGCGATCAATGTCTCCTCTCGCAAGTTGGTCATAACAAATAGCTTCTGAAACACCAAGTCCCAGTTGTAAAGAGAGGGACATTGACAAGAGGTATACTTATGTTACACGATTGATCAGCCCATTTCTGTTTTTGTTTTTTTTTTCCTGAAGTCTTTGAGAAAAGAGAGAGGACAATCAATTTCCATGATGTGTTTCACTGCTTGCTCATAAGCCTGTGATTGGTTGGAGAAGATGTGCACGCCAAGATGTTTGATTGTTCATAATTATTTGGAAAAATTGCTGCTTTTTCGATTGAAACCAACAAATGAATCATGTAAGACATTTTCACTATTGATTTAGTTTTTCTGCTTAAAAGAGAGAAAAAAAAATAGAGCTTTACCATCAGACTGATTGCAATGCTGAAGATCCAACATCTCCTCTCAACAATGGGAATTCATTGCCAAGTCTAATGTGTTATAAAGTTGATGCCAGCTTTTCTGAAGTCTCTTTGATGGGGTTCACATCTTTGAAGCAGCAACTCAGACTTTGTTTAAAAATTGTTTCATCAAATTCACAAAGTCAACTTTTCTTAACTCTTTGAAAGTAGTATTGATCACTTGGGACGAAAGGATAGCTACTGACTTTCAAATTTGAACAAAACACACACAAAAAAACAGCAGCATGCTTTAAAAAGTGAGTAAAGCTCAAAATCTTCATACAGGGTTTTATTTCCTTACATGCAAATGTACTGGGCACATTCTATTCCAACTAAAGCAGTCACAATATTACAGGAAGCATGGAAAATCAGCATCAGATTATTCAACATACAGCACTGCATAAAGGTTTTCTCTGAAAGTATAAAATGTACAGTATAAAGTAAAAAGGACATTATCATTTAGAAAATTAAGTTTATTCTCTGTGAATAGCACAAAAAGGGCTTGCGGTCCATTGCACAAAGCAGTTTTAACAAAGTCAGAGCCAGAGGTTGAAAACTCTGATTCATCAGTTTTACAACGGCTGGTGTGAATGAGTTTAATCAACTCAGAGTGAAGAGTGTTCATAACATCTTTAAAAAAAGGCATCATCAATAGAGCTCAGATTCAACCAGTCAACGAACGAAAACAAACTAT